AATGGTTATCTGCAACTGAATGGATCACTCTCTCTAAATCAGTCACTCCATGAGATCTTGCAGTCATCATGGCCAATGGTTATCTGCAACTGAATGGATCACTCTCTCTAAATCAGTCACTCCATGAGATCTTACAGTCATTGTGGCTGATGGTTATCTGCAACTCAGGAGATCACTCTCTCGATGTCACTCACTTTGTGAGATCTTACAGTCATCATGTATGACGGTTATCTGCAACTTGAGAGATCATTCTTTCAATATCAGTCACTCTGTGAGGTCATCATGTCCATCGGTTATCTGAGATCACTCTCTGTATCAGTTATACTATGAGATCTTACAGTCATCATGTCCATCGGTTATCTGAGATCACTCTCTGTATCAGTTATACTGTGAGATTTTACAGTCATCATGCTCAGTAGTTCTGTAACTCAAGAGATCACTCTCCCAACTGGGGCAGTAACATTATAAGATCTTACAGTGATCGTGCCGGATTGTTATCTGAGATCTGACATGAGTCACTCTGTTCTTAGCAGGCATTAACAGAAGGTGTAAGTTATCATGATCAGTGAAACCTTTACTAAATTGAATAATTTTCTTCTCATATACGACTTTAATGACAACTGACTTGGTTCTTTTATCACATATCAGGCCAAAGTAATGAATTGTTAAATTAGTTCTGCTTGGAAAATTCACTTGACCTTTACCAGCATGTGTAACACTTCCTAATGTTGGCAACCTTAAGATTATTACAAAATAAAACTATTAAATTGTATGAAAAGGAAATCGCACATTGTAGAGTGGCCCTGGCTCTGTAGTTATCGATATTAGGATAGATAGGATAGATTGATGACTTGGTGCTTTGTGGTACTTCAGGGAACTTCTACAGCATGAAAAGCTTGTGGGAAATCATTTTTTCTGGTCGGAGTTGAAATACTTCTCTTGTGATGTGTTCAGATGCTAAGCGTTAAGAAGAACACTTGCCATCTTCAGTATTTTTGAACTTAAATAGCATATAAAATGCCAGGCAGGAAGTTAAAAAAAAAAACCCCAATAAGAGTGCCATCATTCACGAGAGGGGGGGCTTCAATGATTCATTTACTGCCGCGTCTCCATTCCCTGTATTTGCAGAGATGAGATTTTTTTTCCCCCCCCCCGTCTGCTGAGGATATTCATGGCAGCTTGGGCTGGGGAAAAAAAAGGGGTTCTTTGCTTTCCCGTGACTTCAGCAGTAATTAGGCAATGCATTCATGCGGCCGTTCTCGATGAAAAACCGTACGCGGCCCGCTTTCGGTCAATGTTCCCGTTTAAGTCAGATGATAGCATTCATGCTAACGCAAGCGTCGCGTCATTCGTCTTTTGTCATCTTTGTGCTGAGCACATTGAATATAAGGTTTAGGGCTTAGGATCCATGTGACAGCTTTCTTTATTTCTCCATGTGCCTCAGTATGTGTAATATCTTTGGCAATATGAATTACCTCACTGCTGTGCCACTCTGACGCTCTCCAGACTCAAAGGCGGAACAGCAGGCCTGTCGGTAATGAGAGGGAGCACATTTTTGTAATAGATGCAGTGTGTTATTAGTCACTGTCAAGACACTGAGGGTAGTAAGCACCATGTCTTTTAACTTTCTGTTAGCTAATTAATGCTATTTACTTCAATTGTGTACTTTGGCCGCTAAATGCAGTTCGCGCTGTAAGTAACTGGCTAGCTAATTTGTTTACAGTCATTTGTTTTGTTCAGGAGGTTATTCCGATTCCTTGGAAGGAACAGTCCTGCAGTGACCATTAGTGTGGTGTGAATAGCACAAATTCTGGCTATCCCAAGAGGATCGTGTGGAAAAATAACATGACAATGTGTGAGAAATTCATGGAATTCATTGCCCCAACCTCTTCTTACACAATTATAATTGAAAGCCAAGTAAATGGACAAATAAACCGGTAAATATTTAAACGCAAATAAAATATCCTGTTTAAATATCTTATGACCTGTACCAATAACAAATAAGTGAAAAAACAAAGCAAAAATTAATCCTTTCTTGTTTTTCCTAGAACTAAAATATCCATTAAAAATACATAATGTTTGTGTCAATATAATTGTATGCAGTATTTGACTTTCTATTGTATCCCAAATACATGCACAAACACTCTTACAAATAATTGTTTTTTATTTGACATACATAGATTTTTTTCGTTGTTTGTTTTGTACTTTTCACAATCTAAATGAGGTTTAACAACAAAATGAGAAACTACCACAACAAATTCCAAATTTCTAACTGGGCGGGGGAGAAAAAGATGGAAATCTCATCGTAGTGAGACGGAGACACGGAACGGCAACTGGTCACCAAGAAAGTCCCTCAGGAGGGCGGGGCCAAGAGGACGAGGACATGGTGAGCAGAACAGGAGGACAGACCGTGATTAACGAGGCTGCCCGTAACAAGGAGGCGAAATGGCAAAGAAATGAAACGCACACACATTGTCCCCGAATAGAGTTTAAGTAATTGGCAATTTCTAACTCTTGAAATCAGAGACACACGCATCATAAAACATTGGCTGTGTTTTATGAGAATAAACAAAAAAATATTTTTATATATAACTTTTGTTTCATTAGTCATCATTTGCGGGGCTTCAGAGCAGTTTTTCCCTATTATTTCAGAACATATCTCAGTGTGAGCTGGTCACCGGTGTCATAAAGTCCCACTTAAATGATTTCAGATTATCCATTTAGTATTGGTGAATTGACAAAGCCTGATGGAAATGCATTAATGAAAGGGGCTAAACTCAATTAGGCTGAGTATTGCTAAAAATGATGCAGGAGTGTCCTGTACATACATATACCTAACGTAGCATTACAGTAAGTATATATATGTAGTATTGTTAGTATGTTAAAATGTTCTATATTGTTGCTACTTTGCAGTGAATAAGCATGATGCAAGCCTTAACAAATAAGAGTAATTTGTTAAATACAAATTCGTACTGTACACACTTCAGTAACGTCTTTGTAATCCCATCCGATTGTTTTCATGTAGACGGTAAAAATTGTGAAAAGCTGATCAAGGACACCAACGAATGGCCTTTCGTTTGAGGTCCATTAATACTGACTGGCAGGGTGACCGCCGACTCTGTACGGGTATCGCAAGCGATCTACATGCGGTATCTGTGATGCCTGTCGCAGCTCTGCCTTCCGCCAGAAGCGCTGGCTGCAGTCTTTCCTGGGGTCGGCTCAGGAAAGCCACCACTATTTTCCAGAGGTTCCTGTGCCCCAGCACTGCCACCACAATCCAACAGCGACATTAAATCATCTTCATGTTAAACCGACGGGGTCCTGCTTGCTCTGCTCCTTCCGCTCCAGACCCATTTGCCCGTGGGACGTACTCTATATCAATGTTGTTTTTATGCTTTCCCTTCCCACGGCTCCAAACAAACAGGAGCAGGAAACAGAAGAGGACCACGCCCAGGAATGTGAAGCAACCCATGGCTGTCGATACCAAAATGGTCTTTAGGTCCAGACCGAAAGTCATATTGTACAAGTTAGTCCCGTTGGCTGTAGTGTTGCTGGGGTCAGTGTAGTACTGAGAGGTCCTGTTGGCATAAAGCGACCTATCACTGGTGCCACGACTTTTCACGGCTAAAGAAGCCGAGAGGGAATCGTTCCCCGCAGCGTTGACGGCCATGCAAATGTACACTCCGGTGTCATGCGCTTCGGTGGCCCTGATCTCCAGGGTGCCGTTAGTGTGGACGGTAACCCTGCCGTTGTTCCTACTGGTGACCTGGCGTCGGCGTGGCGTGAACCAGGACACCACAGGCCTCGGGGTTCCGTCGGCACTGCAGTGGAGCCTCATGGGCTGGCCCTCGTCCACGATGAGCGTCTGCGTCTTGTTCTCCCGGATCTTCGGCTTGGAGCACGTCACATAGTAGGACAGCAGAGGCTCCTTGACATCCCGAAGGGGCCTTCCCCGGATCCCCTCCGGCGTGCTGCACTCAGGCTGCGTGTCGCCGAAGTGCATCGAGTGCCTCTTCTGCAAGATCCACATCAGGCGGCAGTCACACACCAGCGGGTTACTGTCGATCAGGAGGACCTCCAGGTTCTCCGGGGCCTGGAACACGCCCCGTTCCAAGGTGTCCAGCCGGTTGTGGGAAACATTGAGCACCTTGAGCCACCGCATGCCCTGGAAGGCGTGCAACTCCATGTTGACCAGCTGGGCCCCCGCCAAGTGGAACTCGCGGAGGCGCACCAGGTCACGTAACATGCCCCCCTCGATGTGACTGATGCGGTTGAAGGAGAAATTGAGTACCGTGAGATGAGACAGGTGCCTGAGGGCCTGGTAGGGGAAGGCAGACAGGTTGGTGTTGGTTACGAAGAGTGTGGTGAGGTTAAGACCGTGCAGCGTATTGGCAGGGAACACGTCCAGGGAGGGCCAGTTGTC